TGTCTCTCTCTGTCTCCTTTTGTCTCTCTCTTTGTCTCCTTTTGTCTCTCTCTGTCTCACTTTGTCTCTCTCTGTCTCCTTTTGTCTCTCTCTGTCTCACTTTGTCTCTCTCTGTCTCCTTCTGTCTCTCTCTGTCTCCTTCTGTCTCTCTCTGTCTCCTTCTGTCTCTCTCTGTCTCTCTCTGACTCTATCTGTCTCTCTGTCTCTTTCTCCGTCTCTCTCTGTCTACTTATGTATCTGTCTGTCTCTCTGTCTCCTTCCCTCTCTCTCTGTCTCTCTTTGTCTCTGTCTGTCTCTGTCTGTCTCCTCTATCTGTTATCTGCTTTATCTCCTTCCTGTATCTCCGTCTGTCTCTGTTTTGTTTGCTGACTTCTTCCTGTACATCTTATCTATTTTCGCTGTCTCCTCATATCTGCTTTATCTCTTTTTGTCTCTGTTTGCTGTCCCCTTTTGTCTCCTTCTGTCTCTGTTTGCTGTCATCTTCTTTTGTCTCCTTTGTGTCTCTTTTTGCTGTCCCCTTTTTGTCTCCTTTTATATCTTTTAATCTCCTTTTATATCTTTTTGTCTCCATTTACTGTTTCCCTTTGTCTCTTATCTTTTTGTCTCCATTTACTGTCCCCCTTTGTCTCTCTTATCTTTTTGTCTCTATTGACTGTCTCCTTTTGTCTCTTTTTATCGCCTTTTGTCTCTATATACTGTCTCCTTTTTGTCTCTCTCACCTCTGTTTTGTCTCTTTTTACTGTCTCCTTTTGTCGCCTTTTGTCTTTTTTTGTCTCTATTTCCTGTCTCCTTTTGTCTCCTTTCATCTCTCATCCCTTTTTGTCCCCATTTCCTGTCTCCTTTTGTCTCCTTTTCATCTCTTTTACCTCCTTTTTGTCTCTATTTGCTGTCTCCTTTTGCCTCCTTTTATCTCTTATCCCTTTTTGTCTCAATTTTCTGTCTCCTTTTGTCTCTTCTTAGATCCTCGAGTCTGCTCAAACTCTTCTTCACGTTTTAAAACGAGAGTCTGTACATCTTACCCGACGTGCCTCTGTAGCTCAACTCCCTCGTTCTATATCTTCAACAAACCCGCAGGGGCCCCCAGGGGGCCCCCCAGATACTTTTCATGGGGGCCTCCATGACACTTTCCATGGGGGCCCCCATGGGGGGCCCCCCGACTCTTTTCATGGGTCCCCCCATGAAGCTGTACGTGGGGGGCCCCGTGGGGGCCCCCATGGAAACCCCCACGGGGGCCCCCACGGAAGCCCCCACGGGGGCCCCCACGGAAGCCCCCATGGGGGCCCCCCTCCTGGAGCTCTACTTAAAGGCTCCTCTTCTGGGGGCCCCTCTTCTGGGGGCCCCTCCTCTGGAGGACCCTCTTCTGGGGCCTCCCCTACTGGGGGCACCCCTTATGGGGGACACCCCTCTAGTAGCCCTCCTGGGGGCCCCCAAAGGGTAGCCTCTGGCAGTCTTCATAGGGGCCCCCCTTCTGGAAGCCCTCCTGGGGGCCCCCAGGGGCCCCCGGGGGGACACCCTGCCTAGTTATGAGTAGCTGAGAGGTCTGATTGCCTCTGCATGTTTTGTTTTTCTTGTTGCTGCCAAACCCTAAACCCTAAACCCTTGGATTTGAATAAAGCGTCTTCATAGTGGGTTGCATTGCTGTGCTGTGGGGACATAAAGCGAATGTATCAGCAATAAACCCTAAAACCCTAAGCTCTAAAACCCTAACTAAACCCTAAACCCTTAAACCCTAAACCCTAATTAACAAACCCTCGTTAACCCCCCTAAACCCTCGTAAACCCTAATCAATAAACCCCAGTAAAGCCTATTTGATAAAAGCCCTACCAGTCAGCATAGCCTCATAAACCCTAAACTCTAAATACTAGACCCCCCTAAGCCCTAAACCCTTAAATAAACAAACTCTCTAAACCCTAAGCCCTAAACCCTAATCCTTCATAAGCGCTCCACAGAAACCCTCAAAAGCCCTAACGAATAAACCCTCACAAAGCCTAATAAAACCTCATTAACAAACCCTTAAAAACCCTCAAACATGCTTCCTTTGAGGGCGCTAAGGGCCCCCGGGGGCCCCCTAAATGCTGCATTGGGGCCCCTCGGGAGGACCCTAAAAGGGGGTTGAGGGCCCCTGGGGCCCCATCACTTTTGCTGCTGTGGGATCAGCAGCATATAAGAATAAACAGACGCAGCAGAATGAGGAGCTAGCTCTGGCTAGATGCCCCTTACAGAGTCGAGCTGCTGCTGCTGCTGCTGTTACTACTACTGCTGCCGCTGCTGCTGCTGCTGCTGCTGCTTCTGCTTCTGCTACTGCTGCGGGGGAAAAGGCCACATTTGTACGGGCTCGTTCGGCATGTGCGGCTGCTGAAGCACGTGCTGCTGCGGCAGCTGCGGCAGCTGCGGCAGCTGCGGCAGCTGCTGCGGAAATTGCTGCTGCTGTGTATGGGACTGGGTAGGGTGCTGCAGCAGCAGTTGCTGCTGCTGCTGCTGCTGGGGGGGCTGCAGCAGGGTGAAGTCAGCTTGCAGCTCCCTCTCTGTAAGAGAGGCAGTGGAGTTATAGGAGAGAACTGGCTGCTCCAGCAGCAGGCCTTGCTGCTGCAGCAATCTGGTTGCTGCTTGCTGCAGACAAGCACTGATTGTTGCAGCATCCCTAGCAGCAGCAGCAAGTCTCTTAAGATGTGTTTGTCTCTTTGATTCTCCTAACAGGCTCTCTGCTGCTGCTCTCGCCAGCAAAAGCACCTCCACCAGCAGCACTCCCATCCTCCTACAAAACAACTTTGCTGCTTCTGTCTCTCCTCTATACAGCACAGCGCCTAACCGACTCATATGCTTGTTTACATCTTCTTCTACAACCTCCAACAACTCCTCAATCAAACCCTCAGCATTAACACCAGGGGCCCCCTTAGGGGCCCCCCGAAGGGCCCCCCCAGGGGCCCCCATTGGGCGCCCCACAGGTGGCCCCACAAATGCCCCCCCATGGGGCCCACCATAGGGGCCCCCCAGGGGCCCCCCAAATGATCCCCCAGGGGGCCCCCCAAAGGGGCCCCCTCCTAGAGAAGCTGAGGGGGCCCCTATAGGGGGGAAGTTTGGGGGGCCCCCTGTTGGGGGCCCCCAGGGGTTTTGTAGTTGATCTGTAGATGAAGAAGATAAAACAGTTTTTAATTTGTTATGTAGACTTGAGAGCCTTTGAAGGGCAACATCTTCATTATTAAATGACACACCCTCGGAGACAAAAGAAAAAAAAGCGTTGCAAGAAGGAGAAAGAAAGGGATGCTGCTGCTGCTGCTGCTGCTGCTGCTGCTGCTGATGATGATGATGATGATGATGATGATGATGATGATGATGGTGTGCTGGAGAGCTCGATTTGTTTGGAGGCAATCTGTCCATACACCCCAAGTACAGGACTAGTGCGGGCCCCACACTTCCTAGCTGCTGCAGATACACCTGAATATTTGTATCAGGGGGATGCAGCCAAAGCTCTATGTCTTTAACGCGTTTGCTTCTGCGGATGTCGTTAACCTTCCTTTTTACAAGTGAAGATACACCTGAAGAAGCTGCGGAGGCAAGACTAGCAAGGTAGGCGACCCTTCTATCCTTTAATAGCCGCTGCACCTTTGGGGGTAGGTCCAGACCCTGCTGCTGCTGCTGCTGCTGCTGCTTGCGCTGCTGCCGCCGCCGTGGCTGCTGCTGCGGCTGCGGCTGCGGCTGCGGTATGTAGTAGTGATGATAGTGTGGACCTGCAGCAGCAGCAGCAGCAGCAGCTGCTGCTGCTGCTGCTGCTGCTGCATCAGCAACAATGCCGCTGCTCGCGCCCCCGCATGTGATAGGCGAATCCAGGGGACAGATGGAACAAAAAAGGAACAGCAGCAGCAAAGCACGCATCTGCTGCTGCTGCTGCTAAAAGGAGACAGACTGCAGCAAAAGGAGACAGCGCAGAGGCCCTCTCTCTATTAAAAAAACAGCTTCTTTGATGCTCTGCACATTACAGAAGAAGCGAGATCTCTAGCAGCAAACAGAAGAAGCAAACAACACAACCATTCTGCTTAAATCCAGATCGACGCTGCTAGGGTTTAGGGTTTAGGGTTTAGGGTTTAAACACCCAGCATGCGGGAGGCTTAGCAAATGATGTTTAGAACAACATACAAAAATAAGCACACAAACGTGGAGAGAAAAGACGAGAAAGCAACACACTCTTTGCTGCTGCTGCTCTTGCTGCTGCTGCTGCTGCTCCACGGCTGCTCCAGCAGCAGCAGCAGCAACAGGAGCAGCAAACTCAAATTCCTTCTTCATGTGTTGTGCATGGGTTGTTACTTCTTTTTTAATAATATAATATTATTATTATAAACAAAAATAATATATTTATACTGCAACATAAGCATTTGTTTCTCGGCGACGTGCTTCCTGCTGCTGCAGCAAGCCAGGGCCGATCCCTGGGTTAATTGCTGCTGCTGCTGCTGCTGTTGCTGCTCCTCTATTTTAATGTGTTGTTCATTGCTGTTATTAGCTGCGTACTCCAAGGCTGCCAGAGTTGCGCTGCCCTTGCTGCTTCTGCTGCAGCTACTTCTGCTGCTGCTCGTGCTGCTGCTGCTGCTGCTGCTGCTGCTGCTTGTGCTGCCGCTTCTGCCGCTCACTCATTAGCTACGCATTCCCTGGGCTGACAAAGGGCTCAACTGCGGCTAGCCAGCCAACGGGGGTGGCTAGCCAGCTAGCTACACACCTAGCGAGCTACTGCTCTACCTAGGTACTCAGCTAGTTCGTTAGCTAAAGACCCAGCTAGCTAGCCAGCTAGCCAGGTGGTTAGAGAGCCAGCGAGTAGCTAGCCAGCTACATAGTCATCTAGCTAGCTAGCTAGCTACCCAGCTAGCTAGCTAGCTAGTCAGCCAGCTAGCTACTTAGCGATCGAGCTAGCAACCTCGCGAGCTGGCTATCTACTGAGCTAGCTAGACAGCTAGCTAGCTATTTAGCTAGCTAGCTAGCTGCCCCTATGTATGGCGTAGTGTTTAATGAGGGATGGAAGAGAGTCCGGCGCTAATACACGTGAGCAGCCTAACCCCACAAGACGTGGGGCTGCATGCATGCGTCGTTGCTGCTGCTGCTGCAGCAGCAAGGAGCGTCCAAGGGTATGAAAACCAGCAGCAGGTACCCTGCTCATGCTGCTGCTGCTGCTGCAGCAGAAGCAGCAGCATGAGCAGCAGCAGCGCTGCTCTGTGGCTTTGCCGCAGCAGCAAGCCCGCACTCACGGCATCACATCTGCAGCAGCAGTATCTGCATGTGCATCTGCATCAGCAGTATCTGCAACTGCAGCAGCGGCAGCAGCAGCAGTTGCTGCTGCGCTCAGCATTCCATTGTTGATCGGCCTACAGCTGGAGGCGCAGCAAACCCAAACGGGTTCTTCACCGCCTGCACCTTCGGGGGCTCTCTGCACATACACATAAACACACGCCTGCTTCCTGCTGCTGCTGCTGCTAGTGCTGCTGCTGCTGCTAGTGCTGTTGCTGCGGCTTGTGCTTGTGCTGCTGCTGCTGCTACTAGTGCTGTTGCTGCGGCTAGTGCCGCTGCCTGCGCTGATGCTGCTTGTGCTGCTGCTGCTGCTAGTTCTGCTGCTGCGGCTAGTGGTGATGCTGCTTCTGCTGCTAGTGCTGCTGCTGCTGATTCCCTTCTCTCTATGTATTTGTGTGGGGGCATCTACACGGCTATTCATTCGCTGCAGCTGCTGCTGCAGCTGCTGCTGCTGCTGCTGCTGCTGCCGCTGCTGCTGCTGCTGCTGCAGTGCGTTTCTGACTTTCTTTCTCTCCTCGGCAGCTGCCTGAGGCCCAGGGGCTTGGGCGAAGGAGGGCTTTCTTTTTCTTGAGCTGCAGCTGCAAGCACAGCACCCCTCAACTCACCCTTCCAAAGAATAGCTAGCTAGCTAGCTAGCTAGCTATCCAGCTAGCTAGCTAGAAGGCAACTGGCTGGCTACCTAGCCAGCTAGCTAGAGGGGCAGCACAACCCCAGCTGGAAGACAAACCATCTCCACGCCTACTCAAGCTAGCTAGCTACCTAACTGAATAGCTAGCTAGCTAGCTGGCTAGCTGAGTAGCTAGCTAGCTAGCTGGCTAGCTGAGTAGCTAGCTAACTACCTAGCTGAGTAGCTAGCTAGCTAGCAATGCAGCTAGCTACTCAGCTAGCTAAAAGACTTACGAGCGAAAGGGGGGCCTCCATTAGAAAGGGGGCCCCTGGGGGGCCCCTGCGGTGGTGCAGCTGCCCCGGGGAGTCCGTTGGGTCGCTGCTGCTGCTGCTGCTGCTGCTGATGCTGCTGTAGCTGCTGCTGCTGCTGCAGCTGGTGCGGCTGCTGCAGATGGGCAGAGTTAGGCGCGAAGTCGCCTGCTGCTTCAGCAGCAGAAGATGTCTCTGTTTGAGAGACATTTGTAGGAGTGCCAGTAGCAGCACCAGAAGCAGCAGCAGCAGCAGCAGCAGCACCGAGTTGCTCTTGTGAAGCCCCAAACCCTGCACAACAGCACAGCAGGCAAAGCAAAGCTTGCTGCTGCTGCTGCTGCTGCTTACCCTGCGCCTGTTGCAGCTGTTAGGGATGTTCGTGCTGCTGTTGTGAGTTTTGCTGCTGCTTTCAGTGGCGCTGCTGCTGCTCCTACGGCTACTAATATTCCTCTTCCTGCTGCTGCTGCTCTGCTGCTGCTGCTGCTCTGCTGCTGCTGCTGCTGCTGCTCACCTCCTTCAAAGCTTGTGCGGCGCACAGGTGTCGATTCCTGAGACCCAAACCTGTCGCGTACGTCAGCAGCAGCAGGGAGGAGAAGGGGGTCCTGCGAGGGCAGCAGAATCTGCTGCTGCTGCTGCGGCGGTGGCTGCTGCTGCTGCAGTTGCTGCTGCTGCGGGTGCGGGCCGGCTTCCGCAAACGCAGCAGCAGGATGCTGCGGATGATGAAGGAGGAGCTGCTTGTGGTCGTCATGCTGCTGTTCCTGCTGCTGATGTGGCTGCGGTATTGGCTGCTGCAGCAGTTGCTGCTGCGGCAGTTGCTGCTGCGGCGGTTGCTGCTGCTGCAGCAGCAACGGGCTACCTCGAGGCAACTGAGGCCCCAAATGCGACTCGCTGCTGCTCATGCTGGACAAAGCTGGCGGTGCAGCAGCAGCACCTGCTGCTGCTGTTGCTGCTGCTGCAGATGCGCCTGCGACGTCGTGAAGGTCTGAGAAAAGCAAACGCAGCAGCAACTTTCCGCTGCAGCACAAGAAGCAGTAGCACTAGCAGCAGCAGCAGCAGCAGTAACAGCAGGAACGGCAGAAGCAGAATCAGCAGCATCAGTAGCAGCAGCAGCAAAAGGACCTGCGGATCCCTGAAGGGACAGTCTAGGAGACACAATGTCGAAGAGATCCTGAGCAGCAACAGCCAAGCTGCCTGCTGCACTCTGTTGCTGCTGTTGCTGCTGCTGCTGCGTCTTTCCGATAAACTCCGGCAAATCCAATTCGGGGCCCTGCAGCAGCAGCAGCAACAGCAGCAGCAACGGCAACAACGCTGGCTAAGAACGACAGCAACAAGAACACCAACAGAAGGAGCAAGTAACAACAGCAGCAACAGCAGCAGCAGCAGCAACAGCAGCAGCGACTGCGCACCGGCTGACTGCCGTTCATAGACATGTGCCTGAGGACAAAACAGACAGCCACACAAACATGCAGCATTGCTCGCCGCTGTTGCTGTTGCTGCTGCTGCTGCTGCTGCTTCGGCTGTTGCTGTTGCTGTTGCTGCAGCCTCACTTGAGTATCTGCGCCATGAAGAGAGCAAAACGCGACTGGGCCTCCACCGCCTCCGAGAGTTGCTGCGCCTGGCTCAGGAGCTGCTGCTGCTGCTGCTGCTGCTGCTGTTGCTGCTGGTCTAGGAACCGCGTTAGACGCTGCTGCAGCTGCTGCAGCTGCTGCACTGCATCGCCCTCAAAGCCAGGGCCCCCCGAGGCACCCAGGGCCTGCTGAAAACACACAATAAACAAACCCCAAGCTGCTGCTGCTTTTGCTGCTGCTGCTGATATTAGCACTGCTGTAGGTGCTGCTGCTGTTGTTGCTGCTGCTGCTGCGTGCTTACCTTGTTGCTGGGTGTGGAGCTGCTGCCGGCAGCAGCAGATTCGCAGAGCAGCGACAGCTTTTTTGCGTTCACCAGGAGAGACTGCATCTGCGGCTGCTTCAGCAGCGACTGAAGTGCTGCTGCAGCTGCTGCTTCCTGCTGCTGCTGCAGGCTGCTGCTGCTGCTGCACCACAGCGGAAAGAAACGCCCAAACAACAGGCGGCTAACAACCTGAAAATAAAACAGCAAAGACAAGCACAGCAGATGAGCAGCAGCAAAACAGCAAACAGCAGCAGCAGCTGCTGCAACAGTAGCAGCAGCAGCAGCAACTGATGCTGCTGCTACTGTTGCTGCTGCAGGGATAAAAAAAGCAGCAGCAGCAATACGGACCAGAAGTGCAAACCAGTAACAGCACCAGTAGAGGCATCAGCAGCATGAACAGCAACAGCAGCAGCAACAGCAGCAGCAGCAGCAGACCAGCAGGGTGATGCAGGTGATGCCGATAAGCCAGAGGACCGGATAACTATTAAAAACCTCTTCATTTGCTTCTGCAGCAGCAGCAGCAGCAGCAGTGACGGCGCGGTGTACTGTTGTTGCTGCTGCAGCAACTGCAGCAGCCAAGGCACAGAGAGACAGCAAACAAACACAACATATATGAGACAGCAGCAAGGCATTGCTGCCAGTTTCGCTCCGCTGCTGCTGC